GGGGGGGGGGGGGGTAGATTTTACACATTATTTACTTTTGACTAAAAATATTTTTTTTTTATGATTTTTTTGTATTTTAAATTTTGAAAAACTCAAATATAAATTAATCTAAATTGTTTGGTAACAACTTGTCAGATCATTACACTTAATAGTTCAACTACTAATAATGGAGAAATATATGCTCACAACTAATTACCTAGAATTATTATGCAAGTTATATCAAGAAATAGATAATGTAATATATATGTGTGAGAATTTTCTGAATTCAATTCGATCACTAAATTTAACTAATATTTAGCAACTAAATTAAATTTCATCGCTAAGAAATGAAAATTTATAATTTAGCGACTGAAATAGTGACCGAATTTAGTTTCGTCGCTAAAAAAATCAAAATTTATTATTTAGCGACCGATTTTCTAGTGACGACTTATTTTGATCGTTAAATTGGTCACTATATTAATTATTCATAATCAATCGTTAAATTAGTTGTTAAATAGCAACTGATAAATTTCAGTCGCTAATTTCGGTCGCTATTTTGCAATTTTTTAGTAGTGATTATATCGAATGTAGTATTAATTAAATATTATATACAATAAACTTTAGTAATATTAGTATTATATTTATATAAAATATATTATTAAATTTAACAAATATATAGCATATATTTAAAATATATCACTTTTCATGTTAATCTATATACATGTAAAATATATATTGAATTAAAATATACAAAAGACACCGGATTTAATGTAATATTTAATATTATTAGTATATATTTTACAATTATACGAATATCTATTTTTATTTATATGATATTATTTATTAAATATAATATAGTATTCATAAAAACAAAAAATAAAGTGATTTTTTTTAATTTACTAAATATGGCTAACACCATAAACAATTATATGTATTAAATATAATATATATTTATTAAATATATTTCTTTCTATATCAATTTATGTACATACAAAACATAATCTACATGTTCTATAATATATGCATATATAAAGTTTTGGTTTCGTACGTACTCATTTCTTTTTTTTAGTACTACGTATTAATTCAATGTTCTTTCGGTACAAAAATTAATTTCAAGGATTTTAAAATTAGTTATTAGAGAATTAATCTTAAAAATGATGTAGCGACATTTTTATAAATAATATTACAATTTTTAAGATTGATCACATCATTGAAAAGTGTATTTATACATTCATAAATATAACTTCAACTTCTTTAAACTTGCACAAATTTAATTTTAAAAACAATGCAATATAAAAATTATTTTCTTACCAATATATATATATAGGATATAAATAGAAGAAAAAAAAGTAATTATTATTATATATAAAAAAATTAATACAACATTTATTTTCAAATTTATTTACTTTTAATACAATAATACTTGTTAAGAAATGAGTATTACCTAATATGGGATACATGTACTCACTTGTGATATCATTTAATAAAATTCATTTATTAATATTACAAGTGTTTTGAAAATTTAACTGAAGTGGTCCGTTAGACAAAAAAAAGTCAAAAATCGATCAAGTAACAACAAACCCGATATGAAACAATGATTAAAAAAAGTAATTAATATCATATAAAAAAAATTAATACAACACTTATTTTCAAACTTATTTTTTTTTAATACAATA